ACCATTATCATCTCAAAAAGAAAATATATATACATATATATATATATATATATATATATATATATATATATATATATATATATATTATTACAATTTAAAAAATAATTTCTGGCTTTAAATAACCTGCAAATCTTTGATAAAATCGTGCAAAACGAAGCGCTCAATAAATGAAATACGGCTTTGATAAACAGGCATTTTTTTTAGATGAATCTGCATTCTCTGGAATATAAATGTATAGAACTATCGAGGCCATAAAATGAGGGCTCATTTTATATATTGGTTGTAATCTAGAATTGATTCCCCACTTTATATACACTATATTGATTGTTGATAAGCCGTAGAAAACGAATGAATCAAATATTGATTAGCTACACAAGCCTCTCTTTGAGATTTATTTACATTCTCTGGAATATATATGTATAGAAACTACTGTGGCCACAAAGTGAGGGATCAGTTTATATATTGATTGTAATACAGAATTAATCCTCCACTTTATATCCACATTATGATTTCTTGGTTGATTATCAAATTCTGATTAGGTATGAATCCACCTATTCTCCCCCGAAGCTATGGGTTAATTAATAAGAATTGCATCACTAAATCACTATTATGTCAGAAAATATTATCTTGCTTTAAATAACATGCAATAGGTTGATAAGCCGTAGAAAATGAATCGATCAATGAAATATTGTTTACCTACAGTCATGTCTATTACTCCATCAATTAAATCTATATCACTAAAGCACTATTATCCGCATCTAACAAAAATATTCTAACAATCAAAAATATATATCCTGGCTTTAAATAACATGCAAAGGGTTGATAAACCGCAAAAAAAAACCGAATCAATAGATCAAATATTAATTAGTTACACAAGCATATCTTTTAGATTTATTTACATTCTTGGAAATATAAATATATAGAAACTATCGTGACCACAAAGTGAGGGATCAGTTTATATATTGATTGTAATGTAGAATTGAACCCCCACTTTATTTCATCATTAAAATTTCATGATTGTTGATAAGCCGTAGAAAACGACTCAATGAATGAATGAAATAGTGATAAGTTATGCAAGTATGTCTTTTAGATTTATTTACATTCTCCAGATTGGTTCCGTTAGTTTTGTTTTACAGCATATCAACATCTCAATGGGTTATTTAATGCCAGCAAGATTTTTATTGAAGGTAACTTCTTTTTTTCAAAAAGTATTTCTGATTAACATTTTTCCCAAAAATATTGCTGGTCATGTTTTCTTTTTTAAAAAAATATATTGCTATTATTAAAACCTATTTTTACACGTTTTGGCCTAAGTTTGGGAGTTAACTATTTGCCCATAGCTGGGACCTTAAGAGGTGCTATCACCCCGGGTCAGGGTGGACCTGGAAACACCAGCAATTAAGAGGTGGTTCCAGGCTCCTCAAAAACTTCCTGATCAGAAGACTAGCTGTCGGATGTACTTTATCGTCTTACCGAGGACAGTACATTCTTCGGAATATAAATGTGTAGAAATAACCGTGGTCACAAAGTGAGGGATCACTTCATATAATCTTTGCAATATAGATTCGATCCCCCAATTTATTTCTGCATTATAGTTTCTTGTTTGTTTATCAAATTTTGATTAGGTGTGAATCCACCTTTTCTCCCCCAGCTATGTGTTAATTAGTAGACTTTTAGCACAAAAACTTTATCTCAGAAAAAAGTATTACTATCTAAATTATTTTCTGGCTTTAAATAACCTGCAAAGGGTTGATAATCCGTAGAGCATGAATCAATCAATCAGTCAGGTACTGATTAAAGACATAGTCTTTTAGATTTATTTACACTCTGAAATATAATATAGGAACTACCGTGGCTCTTGTTCAAAAGACGGAGAGGAGTAAGGATTGGGTGATAGGCGAAGCTCTCTACTCTTATTCAGCGAAAAAGTAAACATTAAATAAAATTTCAGAGATTTAAAAAAGAGATTAGAAGTATAGCGATGATGTAGACTTTAGAAGGAATCGGAAAGCCAATCCTAAACAGGAAACAACAGATAAATACCTACTCCTGTTCAAAAGACGGAGAGGTCTGTGAATCGGACGATATGCGAAGCCATCTCCAACTAAAATGTCGAGGATACCATGGATGAGACATGTGATCAAAGAGGAAGCTTTTATGTAAATGGAAACAGAATTGACAATTATCCAGAAAGTCAGAAAGAGTTGAAATATTTTTAGAGCATAATAAAGAAAAGACGGCCTGGAAAATTTGACACTCAAAGGCATACTGAATGTAAGCATGGCGGAGGAAAACAGCGACTAATTTAACCAACGATCTTACGTAAATGCTTGACAGAAGAGGTCGCGTTAGGAGAGTATAAAGAGAAACGAAGATAGAAAGTTATAGAGAGCCATGAACCGACCGTGTTCTTAAGACGTACGGCACATAGAAAAAGTACCACACTCCTGACTTGTGTTAGACATTTTCATGACGGTCGTCTTCGAGTATAGAATCCAGAGGTTGGCAGTGAATATTTCGGAGACAGTAGGAAAGCGTAGTGCAGGTTCGCAATGGATATCACAGCAGAGTGTAGTTCATCCTTCTCCTGGTTGCCTTTGGCCCTTCCGGTAGAGGAAACAAGATGGCCGCCTTTATACACGACGAATACAGTGTTGTGCGGCTTCTGATTGGTCAACCTTCTATCGGTCGACTATAAAGGGAAATAAGTCATTTTGACTCGCTCACTAGTTATATACGATATATACCCAAAAAACCGGAACAACTTGATCATTTCACCCCTAACAAAACATCTGATAAGTGTTCTGTCATTTCTAGTGTTTTCGGGGAAGATTTTAGAATAAAAATAGTAATCTTAGCTGTTTACTTATAAGGAAACATTCATTGACAGAGCAGCCAGTACGTTTGACTGAAATTTATAAAACCTTTCTCTTCAAACAATTTTTCAGGAAAATAGATTTCTTATGTCCAGTAACTGTTATTGCTCTTTCCAGTAATTATGAACGTTTCCTTCCTAACCTTTTGTTTGAAGCGGTGTGGAATGTCAATATCTAGATTATGTCATTATTTTCTCTTCGGGTTACATGTGATATCCAATTTAGCTGTTGTTTCTTTTGAAAATACTCAAGTGATGTCGTTCCAGCTATTTTTACAGATCTTTGCTTGGGATTCTGTAGCGCCAGTCTACAAGGTTGGAAGTAGTCTGGTCTTCGCCAACATCCACTGTCTTCACTCACTTTAAGACATTTGGAAACCATTGATCTGAGATAGCTATTGTATACAACTGACAGTTTAGATATTTCTGAACGGCTTTGGCGCAATGCATTCATATGATAGTCTCGATTTAAGAGCAAGTCTCGAGTTCTCTAGTTAATGTTTTCTTTACGTAGCAACGTGCGGTATTGGGCGAAACTACATCTAGCGCAATCTATTCTATCCTTGTCTTGTTTGATTTAGTCACATCATTTCAGCCAATGATCTTTTCGGCCTTCCTCGTGTATTCTTCATTTTTGATGTTGTAAAAAGATGATTACTTCGAAATACTGATTATTAATTCTGAAAACTCGCTTTACGCTTCTTTGGTATTACGAAAAACCAACATTTGCAATTCGTCCCCGTTATATGATATAGCTTAAAACGGAGATGCAATTCCTTTTAATTGATATGGTGGGAAAAAAAAAGATGTCAGCGTTCCTTGATACAAAATAACCTCCTTCTTAGACTTCCTTCCTCTGTTTTGAAAATCGGTCCCTCAAACCATATTGCAAATTTGTTCAAAACCTCAAAACAGCTTAGTCTCTGTAATGTGTTCCAGCTTTACCTAGTGCTCAAAATGTGTGGCCTTGTGTTGTAGTGGTCACAATTAATCATAATCATTTTCAATGAAAAAATATTTACAGGCGTAAAAAAATTTGTATACAAGCCTCTGCGCATGCTTTTGAGGAAACTGCATACATTTTTGCTGCCACCAGTAAAGTTGTGTCAATTCATGCGAAGTTGTGGAAATTTAAAATTAAAATTGTGAAATCGATTTTAAAATAGATAAAACTGTTTACTCAGAGAATAATTTTTTTTTTTGTTTGTTTAAAATTGTATTTTCTGAATTAAATGTTGCTACATATCACGTGACTTCAGAAACAAACAAAAAAATAGCAGTGAAACGAATAATAACGTTTTGGTTGTGGGCGATTTTGTTTCGTTAAAAAGAACAGGTTTTCAAAATATTTTTTTCTTAAAAATATGAGTTGTGTTCATAAAGGATTCATCCATAATATTTACCGGAGAAATGGCCTACTCAGGAAAATGACACTTTACTTCTCTTACAAACACTCGACTTCACAAATAACACACGGCACTTCACATTCTTTTCTATTTATTTAGATATCTACAGTTCTTCATCAAAAATTGATAGCAGCCTGCGAACTGAAGCCAGTGGTTCTACCACAGTTGAACTTGTACATGGAGGGGGAGAAAATTGAAACCAATGGTTCTACCACAGTTGAACTTGTACACGGTGGTGGAGGAAATTGAAACCAATGGTTCTACCACAGTTGAACTTGTACATTGGGGGGAGGAAATTGAAGCCAGTGGTTCTACCACAGTTGGACTGGTGCATGGAGGTGGAGGAAATTGAAGCCAGTTGTTCTATCATAACTGGATATTTACATGGAGGTGGAGGAAATTGAAGCCAGTCATGCTACTACAGTTGAACTTGTACATGGAGGTGGAGGTAATTGAAGCCAATGGTTCTACCACAGTTGAATTTGTACATGGAGGGGGGGGCATTGAAGCGAATGGTTCTACCACAGTTAAACTTGTACATGGAGGGGGAAAAATTGAAGCCAGTGGTTCTACCACATTTGGACTGGTGCATGGAGGTGGAGGAAATTGACGCCAGTTGTTCTATCATAACTGGACTTTTACATGGAGGTGGAGGAATTTGAAGCCAGTCATTCTACCACAGTTGAACTTTTAAATGGAGGTGGAGGTAATTGAAGCCAATGGTTCTACCACAGTCGGATTTGTACATAGATGTGGAGGACATTGAAGCCAGTGGTTCTTCCACAGTTGAATTTGTACATGGAGTTGGAGGAAATTTAAGCCAGTGATTCTAACACAGTTGAATTTTACATGGAGGTGGAGGAAATTGAAGCCACTGGTTCTACGAGAGTTGGACTGGTGCATGGAGTTGGAGGAATTTTTTTATTTATTTTTAAATATTTTTAATTTATGTTTATTTTTTAAACATAAATTTTCATTTATTTTTAATTTTTTTGTAAAGATTTCTAATGTATTTTATGTTTAATTTATTTTAATGATATTTTTAAAGTATTTTAAGTTATTTTTAAAGATGTTTAATGTATTTTTATTTTCAATGTATTTTAATGTATTTTTTAATTCATTTTAAATATTTTTAATGTATTTTTTATTTTTAATGTATTTTTAATTTATTTTAATGTATTTTTAATTTATTTTTAATGTATTTTTAATTTATTTTAATTATTTTAAATATATTTTATTTTTAACGTATTTTAAATTTATTTTTAACTACTTTTAATATATGTTTATGTTTTAATATATTTTTCATTTATTTTTAATTTATTTGTAAAGATTTCTAATGTATAAACATAAAATGTTTCATGTATTTTAATGTATTTTTCATTTATTTTTAACATTTGTTAGTGGGTTTTATCATAAATGTATTTTTAATGCATTTTTAATTTATTTTTGATTTATTTTTATTTTTAATGTATTTATAATGTATTTTTCATTTATTTTTAAAATATTTTTAAACACCTTTTAATTTATTTTTATAAGAAAAAAGGTAAAAGAAGAAAAAAAAGAATAAACATTTGTGTATTTTGATATTTTTTTAGCATGGGGGTATTTTGTATTTCCCTGTGAAGTTATGGTATATATTGAAGAGGCTTACCTCACTTCACTTAAACATTAAAATTAAGGATTGAAAATATCATTGTACAACCCCTTCCAGGGATCTGTCGTATCTTGTCGGCACGCATCACACACAAAAAAACCCCAAAAAACAAAAAACAAAAAAAACAACCAGAACAAGAAACTTCTCCTTTCCAGTAACAGTGATTGTAGTAAAACATATTCAGCATTAAAAAGAAATATTAAAAAAAACAAAAAAAAACAAAAAAAGTACGTGGATAGGATTATCATCTCTCAGTTATGGAGAAAATAAACACTATAAAACTATAAAAAAAAAAATTAAACTATTACCACTGTTCATAATATATGCATATTTCACTGTAGATTGTATCAATTACAGTAGGTTATATCTATCTATCTATCTATCTATCTATCTATCGCTTTGTGTTCATATCTATCTATCTATCTATCTATCTATCTATATATATATATATATATATATATATATATATATTCAGTCTGTTCATTATCTATCTATCTATCTATCTATCTATCTATCTATCTATTTCTGTCTGTTCATTATCTATCTATCTATCTATCTATCTATCTATCTATCTCAGTCTGTTGATTATCTATCTAGCTAGCTAGCTTTTCATCACTCGCTCTCTCTCTCTCTCTCTCTATCTATCTATCTATCTCAGTCTGTTCATATTTATCTATCTATCTATCTATCTATCTATTTTAGTCTGTTCATTATCTATCTATCTATCTATCTATCTATCTATCTATCTATCTATCTATCTATCTATCTATCTATCTATCTATCTATCTCTGTCTGTTCATTATCTATCTATCTATCTATCTATCTATCTATCTATCTATCTATCTATATATATATATATATATATCTCAGTCTGTTCATTATCTATCTATTCATCTATCTATCTATCTATCTATCTATCTATCTCTATCTATCTATCTCAGTCTGTTCATTATCTATCTATCTAGCTAGCTAGCTAGCTTTTCATCTCTCTCTCTCTTTCTCTCTCTCTCTCTCTCTATCCATCTATCTATCTATCTATCTATCTATCTATTTTCTTCACGAAAAATTCCAAACGTCTATACATTGTTGTATTTGTCTACAAGATGCCTCCTTTTCTGATGGCCTTCTATCAAAATATCTTCTTGTTACACATTTTCGTATACCTGCATCTCTGCTTGTCTACCATTATCATTATCATGAGGTTATACTTGTTTTAATAAAACAAAATCCTGTGAAAATACCATGTCTCTCAGTCACCCCCCCCCATTTACCCGAATGCGGCTACGTGTTTTTAGACACCGAGTCATTTTTTGATGCCATCCGCATTCAGCTTCTTTCGATGCGTGATTGTCCGGCATCTTGTCGCCTTTAATCCTCGTCTCTGAACGAATAACACAAACACAACATCCTGGAACTGCACAAACAAATATCACGAGAATATCTTTTTTCTTTATTCGTTTAAATGTATTTTTTTAGTAGTGGTGTGGGGCGTATTTAACTTGTTGCTTCCAAAAACTGTTTGAGAATGGGGTTTGACATAATACCAACAGCTCGCTTTTGAATCGTCGGGATATAGCCGTGAGAAAAAGAACAAAAATGAAAATAGAATTAGGAATATAAAAAAAAAACCTCTCTGAATTAATATGATTCAACAGAAAAGAGTGCTCTGTGATCTCCCGCTTGTTTAAAAAATAAATAAATAAATAAATAAATAAAAATAACGCAAAATAAATTTCAGCTGGAAACTTAGCGAGTAAAAATATCCATTTTTAATTTCCGCGCTTTGATTTGCATAAACATTTGGATTTTATGCAAATTAGTTGATAACAGATTTTCATTTATTTACTGAGTCCGTGTTTGACATTAATATTTATTTGTTTATTCTATAAAAAAAAAAAAAAACACTCTTTTAATATCCTAACTTTTCAATTAAAGAATATTTTATTGACTAAACAGTTTACTCGAACCAACTTGCCAAAGTGGCAGAACCATTTAATCTGGTTATTTACAAAATTCCTCTGTAAAAATAATAATGTGCAATCAAAGGGAATTCTCAAAAGTTGGGAAAAACCTCAATTTTATATTAACATTTTGAATAGATCCTTTCAACCATATATATTATGCCCATTTGTCAGATTAAGCTTTGAAATGCTGTAAACTAGAAATGATTAAAGATATCTTACTGGAAGTCTTCGAGGTTTCTCTAACACTATTGGGCTTTTCTTTACATAATTACTCTCCAGATTTAAGAGAAGAATCGTGATGAAGATGAAGAAAATGGCATGTTAATTATTAATTATAGCTAGGCATCGGAACCCATGAAGGATTGAAATAAAGTTCAAATATATATATATATATATATATATATATATATATATATATATATATATATATATATATATATATAAAGGAACATTGAAGTCAAAACTTTGAGGCGACAGGTTGTTTCATAGTAGACGCAATCGTATCCAAGATCATCTTCAGGAGTCGCGGAAGAAATTCGAAAGTACTTGAGCATATTTCTCACATCCTTTAACTTCAATAAACGGAAGGTTATTCGTGAGTATGAACGGATTTTGTTAAAAATTAGCAGACATAATGTTTGTAATTTATCAAATCAGACATGCCTAAAAGAGGATTTGTTGCCTAAATTCACACTCACAAACATACACACACACACACACACACACACACACACACACACACACATATATATATATATATATATATATATATATATATATATATGTGAGAAAATATATAGAAAATAGGAAGGAACTGGTTAGGTAAATAATCCAAATTTCCTTATTATTTTAGTTATTATTTTTTAAAAATAGTGTTCGATACAAAAGTAGAGCATAAATATAATTATTTATTTAAAAATATGATTCCAACTCGCGACATAAGAAGTCTCATGTTTCAAAACAAGAGCCGAAAACTTCAATATAATTCTTCAAGCGAAATTTTTTTGGGATTCCAAAAATAAATTTCGCTTGAAGATGGAACAGAAACATACTTTAACTCAATTTAATTCAAATAATTATATTGAAGTTTTGGCTCTTGTTTTGAAACATGAGACTTCTTATGTCAGAGTTGGAATCATATTTTTAAAGAAATAATCATATATATATATATATATATATATATATATATATATATATATATATATATATAAATATCCTCTCCACCCTGCTTAACACTTTCTTTCTCTTCCTCTTTCACCCTCCCCTGCTTTACTATTTTTCCTTTTTTTTTTTTTCTTCCTGACTAAAAAATATTTAAGAAATCAAATTGGCTGGCCTTTTAACTGAGTACACTTGAAACTAAGTAAATTATTAAGGATCGTTTAAAGAACAAAGCAACCTTGTCCTTAATTCCATTTCCATGATGGACCTTTCTATAATCCTGCAACCACCTCTGACACGTTATATCAATCTAAAACTCTCGCTCAAAAATTGTATTAAAAATAAAAGAAACCTAAAGATGTGGCATGATGAACTCGAAAAAATATATTTTATAGGGAAAAACATTATAGTCTTGGAAACTTGAGGTTGCCTGATTCTTAATTATATATATATATATATATATATATATATATATATATATAACATATTACATATCTTACTGTTCTTTCTTTTTATTTGAATATATGTATATATGTATATATATATATATATATATATATATATATATATATATATATATATATAAAAAAAGAAGAAGAGAGGTGCCATTTTTTAGTTGTAATGTGGATTTATTTAAAAGAATATTATGCTTTGTTTTACATAATTTTACTACACGTCTTTCTGGTCTCGTGACCGTCTTCATGTAAAAGCGGAGATTTACACATATTATTAAAAATAATCAATTTTTTCTTTTGTTTTTCAATGTTAAATATTCTCAATATGAGACATTTTCTCTGTGTGTGTGTGTGTGTGTGTGTGTGTGTGTGTGTGTGTGTGTGTGTGTGTGTGTGTGTATAAAAATGAAAAATTTACGGAATCAGAGAAAGGAAATAGCTATTTTTTGCCGTCATTGTTAAAAAAAAATGATCCGGTAATATACATACTTATATTTGAAAAATCATTAAATATACAAATAGAAAAAATCCCGTAAGAATTTTTGCCGTTAACAATAAAATTTAAAAAAGAAAAAGAAAGAAAAGAAAAAACAGACGACATGAATTTAACGGGTGTCAAAATTCATTGAAAAATACATGCCCACCCGTACCTAAACACTTTTTCAAACGTAACAAATAACTAGTACAACAAAAATAAAATCTGAACACGCTACCACCCCTTGTCTGGATGATTGGATTTGTCAGTATCTGTGGTAACCGTAAATTATGATTTTCCTTTGCAGTTAAAACACAGTAAATTTTAAAAGAAAATAAATTCACTTGAGGATGAAATAGAACTAATGGTTTTAATTTAATGACAAAATTAAATTTCAAGTTTTTAGCTTCCACTTTTTAAACATGGTTATTACTGTGTAGCGAAAAATATATATATTTTAAATCAGTTAATTTATAATATATGTGTGTGTATGTGTGTATACATGCATGTATATATATATACATATATACATACATATATATATATACATACATATATATATATACATACATATATACATACATGCATATATATATATATATACATACATACATACATATATACATACATATATATATATATATATACATACATATATATATATATATACATACATATTTACACACACACACACACACACATATATATATATACATACATATATATATATATATACATACATATTTACACACACACACACACATATATATATATATATATACATACATATATATATATATAAAAACATACATCTATACATATATATATATAAAGAAAGAACAGTAAGATATTCTAGCTTTTCTTATTAACTTCCATTTTACTGTAGGTTTTTTGAAACATGGTTAGAACTGTGTAGCGAAAAAAAACATATTTTAAATCAATTAATTTATAATATTATATATATATATATATATATATATATATATATATATATATATAAAGGAAATATGTTGTAGTGGTTCCAACGAGAGAAAAGTATGTATATTAAAAGAAGAGGGGTGCCGCAAACGTTTTTGGTTGTAATGTGGATTTATTGAGAAAAAATATTATACTTTGTTTTGTTATAATTTCACGACACGTGTTTCTGGTCTGGTCTCGCAACCGTCTTCAGGTGAAAGTGGAGATTTTTACATATTATTAAAAATAATTAATTTTTCTTCATGTTCAATGTGGAATATTCTCGATATGAGACATTCTGTTTGTGTGTTGGCAATCCGAATTTTCTTTCTAGAATTGTCAATGAAGAGTTCTGCGTGAAGGGTCATAAAACAATTAAGGTTTGTCCAGCGAGTAGTTATCGGCATTTAATCTTTTAATGTTTTAGTCTTTTCTATGTGCTCTTGGATCTGTTTCTATTTTGGCGTGTTCCTGTCAGCATGCGTGTATATATGCGTGCGTATATTTCCTTACTACGAGGAATTCGTAAACTTATTTGTACTTATACACGCATACACACACATATAAAAGAAACAATCATTATTTTTTAGAAGCCCCAGTCCGAACAAGAAAACCCGTTTAGATGACACAAAACCCAAAATAATAAACCTATCTACATATACACACTTCAAATGACGAAATCAACCTACTGAAATTGGGCCTAAAATTCTGTCCTGCTCCTAAAAGCAATATAGTAGACTTAAAAAAAGACATTAAGGAATTTGAACGCAAACTGAGACTAAGAGAAATATTTAACAATAGCGAAAGTAGTACAGATGAGTCACTAGTAAAAACAAATCAATTTATTCCCAAACAAAAATAACAATACCAATGAGATAAATATATTTTTTGAAAAACTCTGGAACCTTGACCTACAGGAAAAATCAAATCATTCGACAATCTCACATATAGACAAAGACTAGCCTTTAGAGAACATTCGAAAAATAATAACATAATTATAAAGAAGCAGATAAAGGCAGCGCTATAGTAATCATGGACAGAACATACTATAAAACAAAAATTCTAGAAACACTAGAGGATAGGAACAGCTACAAAGTAATTGACACTAACATAGACAAAAACATTATAACAAAATTACAAAACTCTGCACAACACATAATAAAATATTAACAAAAAAAAAGAGAAGGATTTCCTAATAAACTTTGTACCAAAAAAACAAGTAATTTCTACGGACTACCTAAAGTTCATAAATCGAGTGAAATAAAAGCAGCTATACATACACAAAAATCTGAATACATTAGCATCCCAAACCCCAGTGACCTTACATTCAGACCCATAGTAGCAGGACCAGTCTGTCCCA